GCACACAATCACTTAGAAGTCGCATCCCAAGCACTGGGGCCCTGCTGCAGCAGCGTGGTCACCTGTGTGAACAGGACGCTGTCACCACCCGGGCAGGCTTCACTAGCCAGATCTTCCTTCAGCCATAGCCTGACCGGGTCTGTACCAACAAGTGGGTTTGGTTGCAGAAAGATGTGAGTGTGAGCACCAGTGTGATGTTCAGCTCCTGACTGTGAAATGGGATTTCTCAGAAAGCCTTACACATCAGACCAGTTTCTCAGGGAAAGATTACATTTCCATTCTCCCGTCTCAGGCCCAGACTTGACACACTAGACCGATGGTCTCCCAAGTTTCTGCTCACACATAACAAGGCATTTTTGAAAATCTGTGAATCCTCCTCAGCTGTTTTCGATCAATGCCTAAACATGTTTTCACTGTAAATTTACTCACACAAAAGATGTCATTTCCACATATATAAAAATCAAAATTTTGACTCCATATATTTAGTTAATTCAATATATAGTAATGTTTTCCACTTTAACCAATCAGGAAAGCCAGTGCTTACTGCTGAAGTAATCAGCCAAATTAGTAATCTGCTAGCAAAAGTCTACTTCAAGTTTTTAAATTCATGGAAGGATATCAATTCATATCCCTTTGACAAATTTCTCAGTTCTGAATCCCAAATCAAGGATAAGTAGACAGATTGGTTTGTTGCCTGGATAAAGGAGGAGTTGCCCCTCTCAGTATTTCCTTTGGTTTGTCCTCACTGGGCTCACCCACAGGAATTTGCGTCCTAGAACTGTTTTCCTATTTTACACTACTCAGAGCAAAGTGCTTTAAATGAAGGAGCGGCGAGGGCCAGGCCTTCCTCCCTTCCTCCCCACCTCCCCAACCCCTGCATCCCTCCCTCCATCAGCTGTACGTACTCATGGCTCTCCCATAGTAACCACTGCTGAAACCTGAGTTACCGTCTAGACTGTATTCAGTCTCTTTACCTTCACAACTCAATTTCTAAAGCCAGACATGGTGACCAGCACCTGTGACCAGCACCTGTAACCACAGCTACTGGGGAGCCCAGGAAACATAGAGAGACCTAATCTCAAAACAAAGGAAAAAACACAAAAACAAACAACAACAAGTACTAAGCTTACCGAAAGCTCTATCAATTCCCTTCTTTCAATTCATGTCTCAGCCCAGTGCCATTTGGTTTAAACTCTCAGCTCTTGATTGAAATGGCCATGCCCAAAGACTATGCAATCTTCGTGCAGTATTTAGTGTCTTCTTTTCAGCTTTCACCTGTGTTTGTCATCTCAAAGTCAAGGACGCTGTGAGCCGACCTTCTCCTTCCTGACTTGGCTTCTTCCCGGCCTTCTTAGAACTGCTGTCTGCTGGGTGTCCGTACCCCGCAGTCTTCCTCCCGGACTTCCAGCTGTCCTTACGATCTCCTTACTTCTCTTCCTGTCCCTTTCATCTCTCCTCAAGACCTCTACCTCTACCTGCTCCGGACACCCATGTGCACAGCCCCAGACCAGAACTCTTTCCTGGCATCCAGTTCCATATATATATTCAAATGATTGGACATGTCCACCTGGACGTAAGCAAAGTCACAATTTTTTCTCAAAAATCACATTCTCACGGCTGGTAAAAGTTGTAACGTGTTCCCAGCTGTCAAAGTTAAATAACAACAAATCAAGATCTTGCTCAACTTTTTCACAGCCAACATCTAATTACCTATCCAATTTGATTCTATTTCTCAATCATTTCTTACATGGACTCCTCTCTCTGTGCTACCAATGCTATATTATAGAAAAGTGGTTTTATGCATCTCAGCTATTACAGTAGCTTAATTATTATTACCTAACTACCCATTGTTCCACTTCTCTACATTATTCACATCATTATTCCAGGTTTAAAACCCTCCAAATGCTCATCCTGCTTGAACAGCAAGTGCACTTATTGGTGAGAGAAGTGGACATGAGATCCATTATCCACAAGTCCGTCTTTCCAGCAAGACCGGTAAGAGGGCTGAGGTCGACAAGAATTCAAGGACTCAAGGCTGGGGCCGGGAAGCGTAAAGAGAAACGGATCAAGGGGAGCCCTCCATGGAGGATGGATCTAGTTCGGGCTTTGGGGTCAGGGGAAAAAGAGAAGGCGGGCTGGGTCGTGTCTCAGGTTTGCCCAGCGCAGGGGAGCAGCTAGGTATGCAGGGTAGAAAGCCCACGCAGGCTGACGAACAGGAAAATGGTGCAACAGGCGGGTTAAGCTCAAGTCCAGAAGATCGGATACAATTCATATAAAATAACCGCAAAAGGGGGAATGCGATAGCGACACAAAGTAGCATCTCACCAGTGATGATGCTAAATTCCATATCTAAATTTAGATTTGCAGTGATCACTGAGAACGAACTACAGTCATACCTCAGTACTTGACTTCTTGGAAACTCCTTGAATGTGGTTCTAGACACATTTTGAAGAGAAAATTTTGTCCTGGCACAGGTCTTTTGTTCGGCACTAGAACTTGCTGGTGGCAACTGCTTGTGACTTACTACCCTTCTCAGCCAAAGCAATTTGTTCGGTGCTCACCCTTAGTAACCCTCACATCTCCTGGAACCGATTAAAATGGCGAATACCAAGGCACCACTGTAGTTTCTGTAACATTTTTTTTTCTAGGAAAAGGAAAGACCTTTGCACACTTTCACCTATTGATTACTTCCTGCTACCTGTTTTATGAATCATCTGGTAGCTTGGAGCCAGACTGTTATTATTGTAACAATGCTGTTTTTATTTTATTTTATGGTACTACTTTTGGAGAAATTCTTTCTTAATAATTTAATCATGCATGTTATCAGTATAGATTCATATTTAATTAAAATTCTAATTATGTATTCACTTGCCTCTTATAACTCACATTATTTGCTTTCTTGGAATATTTTATTTTTCTGGAAAATACCCTAAAGTTTAAAAAAAAATCCAGAAAAAAAGTTCATGGGAATAATCTTAGCATTTCTTTAAAAACGGCAGGGTGTGGTGATGCACGCCTGTAATCCCAGAACTTGGGAGGCTGAGGCAGGAGGATTGCTACGAGTTCGAGACCAGCCTGGGCTACATAGTGAGTTCCAGGTCAGTCTCAACTACCTAGTGAGACTCTGTCTCAAAAAACAACAACAAAAACAACAACAAAAAAGAAGTCTTTATTCTGTTCTCACCCTATACTCATATTTGAATGCAAATTTTGTAAGATATAGTATTCTAGGATAAAACATATTTTCTTCTAAAGAAAGAGAAGGCTTTTTAATCCATTTGTTTTCAGAATTTATTGTGTATGGTAAAAAGTCTACTACTAGTGTAATTCTCCCTTTTTTGTAACTTTTTTCTTTCCTTTAATTTCTGAAAACATCAAGTTTAAATTTGTGTATCGGTACAGGCATCTTCGTTTACTTGTTTTCCTGCTTGCCATTAAGTGAATATTTCTAATATGAAGACTAGAATCTTTGTTCAGCGATCCAGCTTATGAAAATTTGCTCTAAAAAAGTTATGACTTTTTCTTCCCCTGGAGTACTCTTTCTTTTGATGTGATCTCATGTCCTATCTTCTTTTTATTTTTGCTTTACATTCTTATTTATCAGACTTTATCTTTGAGATAAGTAAGCCATACCAATAACATTCATCCCTCTTACTAAATTTATTGTTCTGCCAAATAATTTTTTATTTCAAAATTTTTCTCACTGAGTCTTTTATTCATAACAGTCTATTCAGATATAGGATCTCTCTGAGAGTATTAATTTCTAAAATTTCATAGCATATTCTTTTCTTTACACTACCTTCTCTTTTTCTTCTGAAGTTAGTTCTAGTTATTAATTTGGTTTATCTCTTTAATACCGTGAGTATTTCTCCAAAATTTGCTGATCTTGGTTGTTCGTATTTATGAATGAAGGGCTGGGCTGATAGTTGAAATAACCAGTGAAGGTTATGCTTTAAAGATGTATATCTACCTATGCCCAATTGGCTTTTGTTTCTCGCTCTGTAAATAATATGGTTTAAGTTTTACATTTAAAACGTTCTTTGAAGCTTAATAGGAATCATCTACTTCTGCAACTTTTTATTTTGCTTAATGTTTGTGAGATTTATCAATATTAACAAATACACTGCCTAAATCAATTCATCTTTACTGCTGCACTGCGTGATATGGTACTAATAGACTACTGTTTCATTACTTTTTGCCCATTTTCCTATAGATGGGCATTTGAGATCTTTTAAATTTTTTAACCTTGATAGCAAATAGTTGAACCTGCAATAAATAGGTCTCCTCTACTCCCACTGTACTTCACAGCTCTCTTTTTACAAAAGATTAAATTTAGAACAATGGAACAATGTTATACCTCTTATAGAAATAAAATCCTTCAGATGAAAACATTCAACAGAAAGAAATATCAACAATGAGAATCTTCAAGGAAAATCTCTGACAGAAAAATATGAAGATAAGAAAACAGGCTGGCTGAAAATGAGGCCTTTAAAGAAAATAGTAAGATTTAAAATGAAGAGCCAAAATAGACATCAGAAACTTCTAACCTAGTTGTCACTGACAGAGAGGAGTCAGTCAGCGAAGCTAGGTGGCCTTCGAGGTGAGGCCCACCTCAGTGACAGCTCCCTGCGGCCGTCTCTACTGCGCAAGCAGCCTGAGCCTCACATCCCTGCCCTCTCTGGAAAAAGCAGGTGAGTGCAGGAGATTTCCTTGTCACATGAGGCAGCTTTTCTTCGTCCTGATTTGTGGGGTACTTGCTTCCACTGCAGTACCCAAGGAGAGCTTGGTAAGGACTGTCATCTCAGACTAGCTCTGTCTGGCATTGCTAAATGGACTAGAAAAAGGTATTGCTCCAAACTCTGGCACGACCACTGTCTGGCACCCTTTCCTGCCAGACCAATCTGGCCCACAGTAAGTCAGAGCAATCAGTGACCTGTGGTGACATCACTCAACACAGAATCTGAGTTTCTAAATGAAGCTGCTTTGCAGCCTGCCCCTACCTTTGCATTTTGGATGCAGGGACAGAGGGCCCACGCTGCGCTGGCCTTCACATCTGGGTGTGGATTTTTCAGCAGGGACCACAACAAGCGAACTCCATCTAAGCGATCAATTATTCTATGGTGAAACAAAAAACAGTGGTATAATCCGTAATTAGTAAGTGAAAATGAAAACCTAAATAACCCACTAGTCACACAATAGTAATTGTTTTTTCTTTTCCTTTTCTTTTGGTAAAATATCAACTATAGCGGGATTACAACATGCTGTTGAATTGTCTGCCCTCTGATTTCAGTTTTAAATTCATAACATGGAAAGCAAGCTACATGATAATTACGATTCACATAAACTTAAAATCAAGCCACGTAATTTTTTAATTAGCTGTATACAGACTGTTGCCTAAATGCAAAAAAATACTGGTTTCTTTCATATACGAACATCTAAATACTTTCCAAAACAAATATTTATGCCTCAAAGCTGTGTGGTTACCTTTTTTATTTGGTCTATGTTTAATTGACTGGCCTCACTGTATGACATATTTTAAACTCCTTCAGTCCTAATCTAGCATGAGGAATTAAAATCTTTACCCCACAGTGCATCCTTTGTTGGGCATGAAGAACACCTAACTTGTTTTCCATGTGCTCGCTTCTCAGCAAGACTAACATTGCAGACTGTGTTATAATTGCTTAAACACGCTGTAATCAAAATATCTTCATGACTAGCTGAAAAATGAATTATCATCAGAGTCATCTCTGCACCATCTGTCTTCTGTTTATACATCAATCAGTCCAGGGAGCACAACCCTGCAATAGGTCCACTGAGTGCTTGCAATGGAGGAGAAGGCCGAGCAGAACTTAATATCCTTTACAAACATGGCTTTGTTCACAAAGATGTATTAAACGCAAAGCACATGCAAAAAGATAAAGAACATCAAAATTCCTTTAATTTGTAAATCTCCCATTGAATTAAGCACATGTAGTATTTAGCCACAGATGGAATAAACTCTGCTAGCTTGAAATGTCATTCAAATTCTTCCTTTAAAAGATCTACATTTCTTGATTACCTGAGATGAGTTTGCCAGGAAAAAAATGAATTATTCCAAAGGCTTCAAGTAGGATATCAGTTTTGCATAACCTTTTAAAATAGGTGATGCAAACCGCCTACAGTGAGATACAAACTGGCCCCCAAACTGGCTTCTAGTAAGAAGAAAAGTGCCTGAGAAAGTATTTTTAAACCAAAATTCAACTAAATAGCTTTGCATATTTAAAGCTTTCTATCAATATGCTGTGAGAACACAAAGTTTTATTTCTCAATTAATGAAAACCAAAGAAACAAATATCCTCAGTATTCACAAAAAATGATTTAATTTTTTGTGTATGCTACTGAAAATATAAATTAATGCTGACCTCTGAGTTTTTACACATTTATTAAGGAACAATGAGTAACAGAATATATCTCTGCATAGGCATAAATTTACAACACAATGGCAAATTTCGCATTAGTAATATTTAAATATCCACTGTGAAGAGAAATTGTCATTAAAGTGAATGTCGTGTAGATGGCACACGAATCCAGTTGAAAAGAAAAAGCAGATTCAATCCTGAACACTCCTCTCCCTCAACAGAATTTTATCAGGATCGCTGCAGACCTGCATCACTTGGTTCTGTGTCTTTAGTTTCTCTCCTTTTCCAACCATACAATACTATGAAATTAACCTTCTGAGTTTCTACAGCAGCTCCTTACAAGCAGGGCCTCGGGGATCTTTATTCTATACACGACACGACCTAGCATATTTTTCTGATGCTTGCTCAACAATCATACCATAAGATCGCTCCCAGACAGAAACATCTCCAATGGCTTCCTCTCCCTAAACGGCAAGCTCAGTGCCTGAACTCGGTCTTCAGATATATGGGGAAGCTGATTCATGCCTTCAAACTCCCTATATTCATGCAATAGCTCACAAAACTCCATGGCCATTTACTAAACAACGAATGCCAGGCATGCAGAAATAAGAGCTGTCAGCAATGCTTGTTACTAGAGGTTCTTAGGCTCTAGGAAGTCACTCCTAATGCTAAATGAGCAAATACCAAAATCTTGGTTCCTAGGGGCAGACTTTCTTCCTGTAGGCATCTGGTCTGAACACTTTTGTCAATCAATCAATGCATAGCCTTTTTTATGTATGTCACTGTTTGGAGACACCTTATTTAAGAGATATTGTTGAATTAACACCAAATGCATGGCAGTCTTCTGGCACTTGGGAACACTGTATAGCACTTCAGGACTATGCTTTGGGGCCCTGTGAAACAGCAAAATCACCAACCTGAAGCACAAAAATGATGGCAGAAAGGACACCTGTTTCCAAGATGAGCAATGAATCAGGAAAGCAGGTGTCTGTGTGTCTGTCCTCAGCTGGAAAAAACACGTGCCACAGTGTGACTAAAAATTGCTCACTGCTCTTAGAGACCCATAAATGACAGTGAAAGTGAGTCCATCACTTCATTAATACAGAATCTGCAAATCATGAGGACTGAATTGATGTTAATTGCCTTTCAGGGAACCACAGTCTAATGAGGAAGACAGAGCCATCTTGACCTTGTATAACAAATGCTGTGGCAGCTGTGTGCGTCGCTTCCGTGTGAACACCGAGAAGACGCTATTTCACAAGCCACAGCAACTCTCTTCCCAGCTATCAGAGGTGCCCATGCCGTCTCCATCTTGAGCTCATAATCCATCATTTAAGGCCTACAACAAAGTTTCTTTCACAAATCCTCTGGCTTCCACTTCCTTTAAGCTTTCTAAACATTGTTGCTTTCCCTTTTCCGGTGCCGGAAGCACACTGCTTCACCTTGCAGTCATGTGTGGGCATCCTGTCTCCCCAACACATCAGGAGTCATCTACTGCCCAAGGGCAAGATGCCACAGCCGGTGAGTATCAGCTAAATGGGTCTGAAATAAGACAGTCTTCACTTACTCTTGGGGTGAACCGAAACTCCATCCCAACACAAATGCATTCCTTTTCTAATGATATACTTTCAAAGTACACGGTCAAATTCTAAACCTAGCCAGCAATATTTTCATTTGAAGCTGTCTCTGGGTTGAAGGTGTATTTACACGGAATTTCTTTACTGCTTTATTGCTTTTTGCACAATACATATACAATTATGAGCTCATAGGTGGTATTAATTTCTCACCATTCATTTTCAATGGGGCTTACTCCTGTTAATATAATTTCCATCTTGCTCTGAATGAATCTCCAGCAGTATATCAGCTCTTCCAGTCCTTATTATCAATAACATTTTACATGAATTGCTTGACATTGCAAAACTGAAGCTAAATTATTTGTTTTCAAAATCTTTAACTTCTTCATGGATGTCAGACTGCTGGCTGGCAGAATAACAGCTCTAGAGAGATGAATAGATGTGCATATTCTGGCTATTAAAAAAAGGAAGCAGCTGCTGGTTATGTTTCTTCGTTTCTCTTGTTCTAGTAACATTTGCCGGGATTGCCAAGAAGTCTGGCTGGTTCATGTACCCACGGAGGCCACATACATGCACAAATGTGGACAGTCTGTGCCTCTATTGTGGGCATGTGTAAGAATGCAGGGTTTCCTCCTGGCAAAGCCAATATAGCTATTTTGAAATCATAACTTTGCATGTTTTCTAAAAATGTCACAGTATGTGCAATATTACACTGATAAATACTATTGTATAACAATTATTGCTCGAATGAAGAGTAGCTGGCAGAATAACATCACGTGGCCCAAAAGAACACAATGCTCTTTGTTTTGGTTACTTTCTCACGGTTGGAACAAACAACTGAATGGACTTAACAAAGGAGATGTTTATTTTATTTCTGATTTTATGAGGTTTAGTCCTTGCATGTTTGGTCGGCTCTAGGCAGAAAAGTCATGGCAGAAGGATCTCACAGAGGAAAGCTGATTACTTCATGGGAGCCAGGAAATAGAGTGAGAAGGGAGAAGCTAGGGAGGGAGATATATCCTCCGGGCCATGCTCCCCGTGATCAGACCTCCTCTCTCAGCAGCAAGTCATCTACAATGTCCCCATAATTCAGTCTCCTTCCAGACACACAAGGCTTTAGGGGTCATTTTGGATAAAAAACATAACACTCTTCAACCACAAAATTAAGGGGTGCAACTGAAATCTACAGATTTTGAAACAAGATGGCAATTCGGTATAAAAGGAAACACAAGGGCCGGGGATTGAGCTCAGTGGTTCCACTGCCTGCCTCGCAAGTGCAAGGACGCCAGTTCGATTCCTGGTAACAAAAAAGAAAAGCGGGGTGGACACAAATGTATGTCAGAAAAATTTAAATGATCTTCCTTGTTAAAAAATCTGATTAGAAAAGAATTTTGACTTTAAACATCCTCAGTGTTTTTATGTTTCTACCTATATGCCTGATTCTACAGAGGGTATGGGAGAGCAAATTTGGAGAAAAGACATGAAATGACAGCCAGTGGAGAGGTATGTCAAGGTTCCATTGGCCTTAGTAAGACAAAGTCTCTCTTTTCATATTATAAGCAATGTGAGTGATGGGTGAAGACTAGAAATTTTTGTCATGAAAATTATTCGCTCAGAGTCCCTGTTAAGTGAAAGCCTATCTTGTGCCAACTGTCACAACACAAGTGGCACAAACTACCCATCTCTTAGCAATGTAAATTTGGCCATTTAATTGTGCTGGTAACCATCATATTTCTCCATTATAAAGGTGAAGTTTTTACCTTTTCATCCAATAACAATCTGGGGTCATACACCATCACCTTGAGACAGTCCTATCCCGTTAACCTTTCCTTATAGAGACTTAATTATTAATGGCAATTTCCATTAACTACCCTTGCCTAAAAGAATTACTGCATTGAAGTTGTAATGATTTTCTCCAATTCTGCCAATCTTCTCAGTTTATTAGCTGCCATTATTCTATAAAAAGCCTCCTCTTTTTGTCAACTAGAACTTGGTTACATTTACATTTCTTCCTGAATTGCAGGATGAATGTTTAATCCTTTCTCTTTAATGACCAAGTTGTGGTCACTGCCTCTAAACACACATTCACCAAGATTTTCTCTTCTTTCTCTCTGCTTCATTTTTTCTCAGCTCTGTGGGGGCG